CCCCCCCCCCCCCCTATCCGACCCTCTGACTCAGGCCTACTGGACCATGAAGGAGCGGATCGTCGAGTTCGAGCAGGTTCTCCTGCGCACCATCAACTTCCAGGTCGACCCCCCGGACCCCTACCGCCTGCTGCTCAACTACGCGCGATCGCTGAGGCTCGACCGCGCCGCCACCCGCACGGCATGGGGGCTGGCCAACGACGTCCTCTTCTGCCCCCGAGCCCTCTCCGCCCCGCCACCGGCCGTCGCCTGCGCCGTCATACGGATGGCCGCGCGCGTTCACGGGGGCGACCGGCGGCTGCGGTGGTACTCCCCCCCGGTGCAGAAAATAAGCAAGCGACGGCGGGAGGAGGGGGGGGATGCGATCGGCGGGAGGGATCTCAGGAAAGTAGAGAGCGGTACGGGGGACACGGGTCGTGGTGGTGGCACCGGTAGCGGTGACGGTGGGAGCGTTGTTCCACCGATGGAGCGGCCTGTGCCACCACCTCCGCCTCCACCGCCGTTTCCTCCTCCCCACGGTGGACTTGGAGGAGGGGTGAACGGCCAACACGTTGTCAGGGCAGCGGGTGCCCCGCCGCCACCTCCCCCTCCTCCTCCTCCAACGGTTGGCGATCACGGAGGGATCAGCGGGAAACAGGGCGGTTTTGCAGGTAGCGCCGATGTCGTTGGCGTTGGCGTTAGGAGAGGTGGCGGCGGCAGGGGCGGCGACGAAGACCAAGGGGACGAGACGGCGACTAAGCCGTGGTGGCGGCTGTTCGACGCGCGAGACGAGGAGGTAGAACTGGTGTGCTCGGAGCTCCTCGCCCTGTACCGAGCGCACGGCGACGGCGAGAGTGCTGCCGGCAAGGACGGCAGCAGCGAAACAACCGCCAAGGGTGATGGTGGTGGTGTCAGTGCCAAGAGCAGCGACGACAGGCCGGACGCGGAGGCGATTGCGAGGGCGGCGGGCGGGGAGTAGTCCCAGCAGCCCCGTAGGCCTCGTCTGCGTTGGCAATGCCTTGAGGCTAGCAGCCGGTTGTCATGACGTATGGCTCCGTTCGAGCGGCCCCATTCCGGTCAGACCGTGCTGTTCGACGACTGGGCGTTTCATGTATATGTCCCCGAGTTTTGAGGTTTTGGTGCCTCTGTCTCGACTTCGTTGTGTTGTGGTAGAGAACGTAAGGTGGTGAGCTGTAAGTGACGTATGCGGGCCAGGCTTACGGAGCCGTGTAGTGAACTGACGAATGCCTCCTTCCACACCAAAGGGAACAACACGACCACCAGAGAGAGAGAGGTACCTGCATGACTTGCCAGGCTCCGTGTCGTTTGGATGCCGCACTTGGATGGGAACATCGTTCGTTTCGACGGGCGTGTGCCGCTACAAGTTGGAGTAAGTTGACTTCCGTAGTATACCGTGTTAACAACACCGAAAAAAAAGGAAGAAAAAGCGCGCTTGACTGGAACTCTAGGCCGAAAAGCCTCACCCATTGTTTCCCGGTGGCAGGCAGGCGGTGGGCCCGTGGGGGGCTACAGTACGCGCTTCAAAACCAAGCGGGCCTGTCGCTGCTGTGATGGGTTTCGGTTTCACCCCCGAAGCCAAACGAGTTGATTTGATGTAACTTGAAGACGGTATGACCCCGGCAAGAAACGTCGTTCAGCAGGTCAACCAGGTTGAGCCGCTGGTGGCAGCGCCCCGGTCGTGCACCACACGCCAGCACAAGATGGGCAACAGCCCTCCACACACGCTGTGGTCCCGTACGTTTCATAAAACCATTGCCGTTGCCCTGGAATCTGTTGAGGCACGTTGTTAAATGCGGATATGTACTGCTGTCGATGCTAGGGAACGACTGCAGCTGTGGTAAGCACTGCTGTACAAAGCTCTCCTGTCCTCGGCAAAAACTCCCGGCTCAAGCTGAAAGGCGTGACAAATATTCTCCCTCCTCACATAATAAAAGCTAGCCTACCCTAGCCTACCGCTATCATTTTTCTTTCCTCCTCTAGAAACGACCGCTTCACCAACAAGCCACTCTGTCTGGTGTACTGATGTAGTGGGTGGTACGTGAGAGGGTCATACGAACGCAGTTTGCCTTTTGTACAGAGGAAGAAATACATCAATCAAGGGCATCGTCGTGCAAGGGGACGAAAAATCCTGTAGAACCGCGAGAAATACACGGTTCATTCCCGAATTTTTCTCCTAAAATCGACACCCATCGGTTTTGACGAATGCAGCATAACCAAAAACTCCTACAGTATTGGGCCTTCATCACGAACCCTGCCATGACGTTCAATTCATGCTGTGGCTCGAAATTGTGGGTTCACAATTTTTCCAGTGCGTACATCCTTCTGGGCGCTAGAGTCTGCAAGGCTATTCCTTGCAACGAGCCCACGAGCAAACACCCAACGCCCCCCCCCCCCCCCCCCCCCCCCC